GGGCGGTAAGGAGCAAGGGGTCCCGGACTGCGAGAGGGATGTCTGCCTGCCAGCTTAGGCCAGCTTCCCATGGGGAGTGGGCCTAAGCCCGCAGGTGGACACCCACTGAGGGGTCCCAGACTGCAAGAGGGCGCAGGCCAGGCTGAGGGACACCCCCCTCCCCCCCCCCCCCTCAGTGCACGAAATTCGTGCACCGGGCCTCCAGTTAAAAAAATAAAAAGTAATTTTAAAAAAGAAAGTGGGTCGTAGACTTTCCTACAATGTAGATTTTGTTGGTTGAAATGTTAATATGTTTCTGTCCTCTGTGTTTCCTCTATTTTGGTTATTGGGTCTTGTGGCTCATGGGTATTTTAGTGAGATATTGGGAAAGGTTATTTCAGGGCCTGGAAGGAAGTTCAACCTCTCACTCCAGGTGGAAATCCTCTTTATTATACCCTTATGTGAGTGTTACCCAGACTTTGGTTGAACTCCTGTAGCGATGGAGAATTCCCTTCTTTATACAAAAGGTCAAGTTAGTTAATATATTTTTACAAGTTTAAGCTCCAGAGTCAGATGAGTTAGTGTGCTTAAGTCCTATGATCCTAGTTTCACAGGTGAGGAAACTGAGGCGTGGGAGGTTAAGTAAGTTGCCAAGTGTCACACAGCTAATCGGGGGGGAGCTGGGGTTTGAACCTGGTCAGATCTGTAGTCTAGTTCCATTATGCTTTTCTGCCTTCCTGTCAGATACCCCTATTCCTACCCTGGTTCCTGAAGCTCATTCAACTTTAACATAGCGTTTGATTTTTACCAACTAGGTTTGATCCTGTTAAAGTCCATTGAGGTATTTTGGAATATTACACCTGTTGTTGAAACATCACTGAGTGTACTTACTTTTATTAATTTATTGCCCCGTTTGCATCTTGCCCAGAAGAGTACTGTGGAAACTTAACCATCTTAGAATGTCAGCTTTATTAAGGCAAGGAGCCCAACCAGCATGGCGCAGTGGTTGAGCGTCGCCCTAGGAACCAGGAAGTCACTGTTTGATTTCCGGTCAGGGCACATAGAGGTCATGGTTTGATTCCTGGTTAGGGCACATGCCCGGGTTGCAGGCTCGATCCCCAGTGTGGGGCATGCAGGAGGCAACCAATCAATGATTCTCTCTCATCATTGATGTTTCTATCTCTCTCTCCGTCTTCCTTCCTCTCTGAAATCAATAAAATAAAAAAATACAGGGAATTCTGTTTATAAGTATTTTCTTATACCTGAAACAGTGCTGAGTACATATAAGGAGCTCAATAAATACATGCCAAATGATTGAAAAAGGTACACAGTTTTCATTACATCAGTCTAGTAGTTTGGTTGTTCTTTCCAATAGACAGGTTTGCTTTTTAATAGCTGGCTATTTATAAATTAAAACAATTATAAAGTAATTCAGTAATAAAGGGGCTGTTGAATAAACAAGATTGTAAAGTTGGGATTCTGAATTATATCAGCTTCAACTTTTGTTTCAGTATTTTGTTTTGGTTTACAATAGCTAGATAATATTAATTTACACAAAGGTGCACTTGCAAACAGTAACTTTTTTTTAAAAAAAGAACAAAACACAGTTTACCCTGAAATCTTATGATATTCTTTCATTAAACGAAACCTAACAATTGAAGATAGTTAATTTGTGTTTCAAAGAGAAACTGTAACAATATCTAATGCGTAATATCTAATCATGCACCTATTCTTGATTATGAAAGCTGGGCCAAACCTGCCCTAATTTACAGCACACAGAGTGGGGGTTCTCCAACCAGCAGCAGGAAGGCTGTTAGTGATGCAGAGTCTCAGGTCACACTTGATATGGGCAGAGTCAGAATTTAAACTTTAAATGTGATTTAAATGTACATTAACCTTTGAAAAGCACTGTCAACTTTAAATCTCAGGGTGGACCTGAGGTTCTGTACTTCCAACAGCTCCCAGACAATCCTGTTGCCACTGGTCCGTGAGCCACATGTGGAACAGCAAGGTCCTGCAACTTCTGTCCTAATGAGAAAGTCGCACAGTTACATGCATTGACTCTCAGGCTGTGGCAAGACCATATACCTGGTAGGCAGACCGAGTTAACTTGCCAGTTATGGGTACAGAGCAGGTAGGCTGGAATGGTGTGCTTATTTCCATGTACATTTTAAAAAGTATGTATGTGCAGACCTGGATAAAAAATTCTGGAGAACTACATCTTTTTATATCTTTGACACAGAAGTTTAGATATTATGCATAGAAATGGCAGCAAATGCATAATTCTCAGATCTGCATAAAAATGAATTCTCCTGGCAGCACAAGCCAATGTGTGTGTTTGCATTTCTGGTTTTCAAAATAGTTAAAAATGTATTTCAAAAGTGAAAAAAATACCCCAGAACTCTGGAATCTCACAGTTTGAAAACTATTGGTAAAGGGAAAAGACTGGGCATTTGTCACTAACATATTGTTGACTTTGGGCCCAACATATAGCCTTTCTGGATTTCTTTTTCTTCCATCAGTAAAAGTAAAGGTTCTGACTAAATAGTCTCTCCCTTAAGATGAATTCTTTAAAAAAAAACATTTTTATTGATTTCAGAAAGGAAGAGCGAGGGAGAGATAGATAGAAACATCAATGACAAGAGGGAATCATTGATCGGCTGCCTCCTGCACGCCCCACACTGGATATCGAGCCCGCAAACCAGGCATGTGCCCTGACTGGGAATTGAACCGTGGCTTCCTGGTTCGTAGGTCAACACTCAACTACTGAGCCACGAAGGCCGGGCTAAGATGAATTCTGAGAAACAGAATCCATAGAGCGGATGGATATATATAGAGTGTCCCCCCCAAAATGTATGCCCACATTTTGAATAATGATAAAGGCAGCATTTATTAAAATACAGAGCTATCAGCTGAAATATGTATACACTAGAGGCCCGGTGCATGACATTCGTGCACTCGGGGTGGGGGGAGGGTCCCTTAGCCTGGTCTGTGCCCTTTAGCAGTCTGGGAGTCCTTGGGGGATGTCCAACTGACAGCTTAGGCTTAAGCTGCAGTTGGACATCCTTAGTGCTGCCGTGGAGGCGGGAGAGGCTCCCGCCACCGCTGCTGTGATCTCCAGCCATCAGCCTGGCTTGTGGCGGAGTGGTGCTCCCCCTGTGGGAGCACACTGACCCCCAGGGGGCAGCTCCGACGTTGGACATCTTCCCCCTGGTGGTCAGTGCGTGTCATAGCGACTGGTCATTCCACTGTTTGGTGGATTTGTATATTACCCTTTTATTACATAGGATTTTTTGAGACACCTGGTACAGTGGGGCCTTGACTTACGAGTGTCCCGACTAACGAGTTTTTCGAGATATGAGCAGTCTCTCGGCTGATTTTTTGCTTTGAGTTGCGAGCTAAAATTCGGGTTACGAGCCAGCTTCAGATACCCCACCGCTAGTTGGCGCAGCGAACATCACAGTGAACGCCACAACATCAGCCCAGCATCACGTGTCTCACTCGTTCACTTTATGATTTGACATACAAGTAATTTGAGTTACGAGCTCTGTCACGGAACAAATTAAACTCGTAAGCCAAGGCCCCACTGTATATATAAAATGAGATTTATTATAAGAAATTGGCTCACACGACTATGAAGGCTGAGCAGTCCCGTGAGTTGGTGTGCATGCTGGAGGACCCAGGAAAGTTAATGGTATAAATTCCAGTCCAAGTCCAAAGGCCTGAGAACTAGGAGAGCCAATGTTGTGAGTCCCATTTAAGCACAGAAGATGATCAGTGTTTCAGCTCAACAGTCAGGCAGATAGAAAGAATTCAGCCTTCCTCTGACTTTTCTCTGTGGGCCATCCATGGAGACGAAATCTGCTTTACTCAGTCTACCAATTCAAATGCAGAGACCCTCTCCCCGACACACTGGGAATAATGTTAACTGGATACCTGGGCATTAAAAGGGCATTATTCCCCATTATTACTGCTGGACATATGACTTAATTTGAGTATTATTTCATTCCACATCTGTTTCCTTAATTTCTTTCATTAGATGAAAGAAGATTCAGGCCCAGTCAAGTTGACACACCAAATTAATCATAGCCTATGTCTTGCTCTGCAGCCTGATAGAGCTTTAGAGTTTCATTAAGTCCAATTCTTTGATTACAGGGGCTGGTTTGGCATAGTGTAGGGCCAAGGATTTGAGCCAGTAGATAACTATGTGTCCTTGAGCAAGCAAGAATCTACAGGGGGTGCTCTGTAAAATGGAGGTCATATTCGTGCTTATGCCATATGTAGTTTTGAGGATTATAGTAGGTAATGCATGTAAAGCACTAAGTGTATTGTTCAATATATATTAGCTGTTATTTCTTTTCCAGATGAGAACACTGAGGTGGAGAAGTAAATAATTTGCCTGAGGTTCAATATTCCCTTATTATAGACTTGGATCTAGAAGCCAGATCTTCTCATTCCCAATAGAATCTTCTCTCAACCCTAGGCTGGCTTTGCTGAAATACTCACCTTTTAAACTTGAAAAAAAATTCTTTTAATAAATTCTTTAAAATTTTGCGTGGTCAGATAGCGCCCCACTGGCCACATTATGTGTCTTTCTTTATGTGTCTTCGTTTTCATAAGAATAATTTGTGATTATCTGAATAGTTTTATCTTTATGGTTTATTCTATATACTGGGGATATGGATGATCAGTTTTTGAGCTTTTTAAGCATCTGTTTTTCTAAAGAGAATGATGTGTATATGTAAATTGTGTATGCATATTAACTTGTATGTTTTCTTTACAATTTTGGATTCTCAGATCAGATGGCTATTTTCTCCTGCTGTTTCTAGCACTTCTATTTTGTACATCACTTTTTGTTCAGAAAGAATTACAACCAAGCAGCATTTCTTTCATTCCTTATTGACAATAGATTGGTCCATGAGCAATTTCAGTTTGACATTTGATTTTATAAGTGTTATGATACACTCACTTTGCTTTTAGTTCTTAATTTTAACTTTTTAAAATCTTTCTTTCTCTTGCAGTTGAAAACAATCCTCGAACAGGAAACCTTGGTGCATTGATTAAGGTCTTCCTTTCTAGAACCAAAGAACTAAAACTTTCAGCAGAATGTCGGAAGTAAGCTGGCTGATTAGTTTTGTTCTTTTCATATTTAACAAGGAGTATTTTTCATCTATTAGAAATTGATTATGGTCTTTTAAAAGCTATTAAAGGAATTGTACTTACTATTAAAGGAAAAAAGTACAAGAGAGGTTTTAATTTGCTGTTCAAGTCACTGGGGGGAGATGATACATTTTGGAATCTGCTTTCAGCATTTTAGATAATCTTTAGAAATATATTATTTAAGTAGATTAATAGTGATGTGATTATTACTAAAAAGGGCATTATTCCCCATTATTACTGCTGGACATATGACTTAATTTGAGTATTATTTCATTCCACATCTGTTTCCTTAATTTCTTTCATTAGGTGAAAGAAGATTCAGATGAGGTATTATAGTTCTATATTAGATGCAATGGAAAGCTAACCTTTTATGTGCTCAAGCATTTTTTAACACTATTTTTTCTGGTTAGCTCTTTTTTTATATATATATGTATATATATATGTATATGTATATATACACATACACACATATATATATTTAAATTGATTTCACAAAGGAAGAGGGAGGGAGAGATAGAAACATCAATGATGAGAGAGAATCATTGATCGGCTGCCTCCTGCAAGTCCCCCACTGGGGATCGAGCCCACAACCCGGACACGTGCCCTTGACTGGAATTGAACCCAGGACGCTTCAGTTCGTAGGCCGATGCTCTGAGGCAAACAGGCCAGGGCATCTGGTTAGCTCTTTTTCAAAGATTGTTCATTGCCCAGCTCCCAAGCAAATTATATTGAATCTAACAAAAGTTTTTCTTGTGAGTTCACAGTTATTAATACAAACAGCAAATATTGTACTGTGATTACTGGTGATACTCCATTTAAAAATTTGGTTGTGTATTTGCATGTATTTTCCTTATGGTACTATGTATTTTTAATTATTTTAGCTTTCTTTTCTTTGAATTGCCTGTGTGTGGGACAGCTATAAAGTTAAAAACAAAGAGCAGTCATGCCCTAGCTGGTTTGACTCAGTGGATAGAGCGTCGGACTGTGGACTGAAGGGTCCCAGGTTCGATTCTGGTCAAGGGCACATGCCTGGGTTGCGGGCTTGGTCCTTCGTTTGGGGTGTGCAGAAGGCAGCCAGTCAATGATTCTCTCTCATCATTGATGTTTCTGTCTCTCTCTCCCTCTCCTTTCCTTTCTGAAATCAATAAAAATATATTTAATAAAAAGAGCAGTCATGCCTAAGGGATAATATTTTTATTATGTTTACTTACTATGTAAAATACATAGAATGAACTATGAAGTAAACTGTAATAGATTTCACTGCTTCAGTGTCATAAATCATGAGCCATTAAAAGATATGGACATGATTCTAATATTACAAATACAGTGGGCAAAACGATTGATCAATCATGAAGAAATCATTGACTAGAAATAAACTGATTGTGCTCATGATTAAATATTGATTCTTATGTGACCTTGGTCTCTTTTCTAGTCACATCTTCATTTGGCAGACAAACAATGCTTTGTTTATTATTTGCTATTTGCTGAAAGTGTTCATCTGTGAGATGTCAGAAGAGGAATTACAACTTCATTTTACTTATGAAGAAAAATCTGGCAGTTACAGTAAGTATTGCCTTTGAAGATGTTTTGGTAATCACATGTGTAGCAACATATAAGCACAAAATTTGAGGAATAAAATTAAAATTTTGAAAATTCCATTGTTCCTCTCATAATTTTCATTTTTAAATAACCTGACACTGTCACTCTTTCTTCCCCTCTATGAATTTAAAAGAACCAAGACTCTCATTGTTTTTTCCTTTTTTTAGAATAAGGCAGCCAGTAAGATTGAGACTTTTATTTATTTTGATCTCATGGATATGAAACATAAAAATAAAAATCACAGGTATTTCTTTCAGAAAACAGATGTCAGTTTAAGTACTATTACTAGGGCAATGCATTATTGAGACAACCAATCAGAAGATTTTGTAAGTATTAAAGGTTACTTTCATAGATATAACAACAGTCTCTGAGTCTGGATGTCTTTGGGATTATTTGATCAGAAATAACATTTTCAAGGACAGTTTTATGATGCTGATGTATGTCATCTTTTTCTGCAGATACAGGAAAAGGTTACTATTTTCTCTTGATATTGCTGACAGGTTTCTTTTTTTGCCTGTAGTTTTTAAGATCAGCTGCTTGCATTTCCTTCCTTAGCATTAAAAGTAACAACCTGGAAAGTAAAAGGGGAGAATGGCATTGTTAACAAATGAAATATGGGGAATGCAGTGTTTTGCATCTAACCTTCATGCTATCTCCTCTCTTTCTGAGGCCAATGGCAGTGTTGGTCTTGCATTTCTGGGGTTTATTTTTAAAAACACACTGTTGCCTGCATTAGGTGTTCCTGCTTACCTAGAGCTTTTACATTGATTTTGAGTTTTAAGACATGAATATGTTTAATTTCCTACTTTGATAATCACCCTTCCAAGTTTGTTAACTATATACTACGAGAGGCCCGGTGCACGAATTCCTGCATGGGTGGGGTCCCTCGGGGTGGCCTGCGGAGATCGGGCCCAGCTCGCGCCCTCAACCTTGCAGCCCCAGCTCGCACCCCCAGTCTCACAGCCCTGTAGCCCCGCCTGGCATCCTGCCTTGGCCTGGAGCCGCCCACTCACCTGCTCCACCATCCTGCTGTGGTCCTGCTCTCATCCAGTCCCATTGGGGCCAGCAACACCTCCACTGCTGCCTGCTGCCAGCGCTGCATTGCCAATGCCCGCCATGTTCTGCGCCACCTCCTAGCGTTCAGCGCATGTCATAGCGAGTGGTCGAACTCCCGGTTGAACGACCACCTGAGGGGACAATTTGCATATTAGGCTTTTATTATATAGAATGTTTAAAAATTAGAGCTTTTAATTGAATTGTGGCTTGCTAGTTTTGTTAGTTTTGTTAACGCTAGGCATTGTCTTTGTGGGACCAACAGTGCCAAAACATAGTTCTCTTTGGGAGCTGCAAACCTTTGCAGGAAGTGTTAGCAGTAAGAGTGGAATGAATGTTTATCCCCAGAGGGCCTAAGAAGATAGTCCAACCAGCACCTATAACCTTAACACTTGTTTGCATTATGTCATAAAATTGTGTATATTTTATACTTTTATTTAACCACAATATCACTTATCCTATATAATAAAAGCCTAATTTGCAAATCAACCGAATGGCAGAACGACCGGTTACTATGATGCACACTGACCACCAGAGGGCAGGCACTCAATGCAGGAGCTGCCCCCAGCCCACAGGCCCCGACCAGCGGCGACGGGGGTTGGGACCAGCTAGCAGGAAGTGCCAGGCCAGCCAAGGCAGGGTACCAGCGGGGGCCCCCTGTTCGCCCCGCCAGTTGCCCTGCAGAGGGAGGTGACCAGTGGTGGCAGTGGGGGGCAGGCCGGTGAGCAGGTGGTGCCAGGCCAGCCAAGGCAGGTGTCAGTGGGGGGCCCTTGATCTCCCTGCTGGTCACCCCACAGATCAGCCCCAATCACCAGCCAGGCCTAGGGACCCTACCCATGCATGAATTTTGTGCACCTGGCCTCTAGTCTATATATATAAAAGCCTAAGCGACTGTTACAAACGGTTGACTGAACTACTGGTCACTATGACACGCACTGACCACCAGGGGGCAGATGCTCAAAGCAGGTGGTCAGTGCACTCCCACGGCAACCTCCTGCAGCTGGCTAACCTCCCGCGGTCCCTTGCCCTGATTGGCCCCGATTGCTGGCCGGGCCGAGGGACCCCACCCGTGCACGAATTCGGGCCTCTAATATAAAATTATTTTTCATTATGTAACATTGAGTAAATTGATACATTTGAGAGATACACTGTGTTTGTTTTGGGGCCAAATGCCTTCCTGGAGTACCCTCTCTGCACTTGCACTCCTTGCTCATCTTCAATTTGGAGAAGCATGTGTCTACCTTAGGCCACAGTCTGGGTGGCTTAAGGTAGACACAGTGTAAAACTGACACTTTTCCAGCCATGGCCACATTGTCAAAATGGTTGTGGCAGACAATGTTATTTTTAGAAAAGAGGAAGTCCATTTGCTTATCTTTAGTTTATGATGAATATTTACAGGCATATTTGAATTTGCTAATTAGAAGTTTAAATATGATTTTCAATATAGAATAGCAATTCCAATATTAGCTTCACAATGGTTTCTGAATATATTTATAGTAAATGTAATCTAGCCATGTGTCTTCCATTATTGCTCTAAATTTTTCAGGCAGACTACCAGGTATTCACCTGTTTTTGGAGTATAGCTTTGTTATTTCTTTTTCTTTTTTTTTTTAATTAAATCTTTATTGTTCAGATTATTACAGTTGTTCTTCTCCCCCCCACCCCCCCATAGCTCCCCTCCACCCGGTTCCCACCCCACCCTCTGCCCTTACCTCCCTCCCCACACTGTCCTCATCCACAGGTGTACGATTTTTTTCCAGTCTCTTCCCGCACCACCCACACCCCTTTCCCCCCGAGAATTGTCAGTCCGCTCCCTTTCTATGCCCCTGATTCTATTATATTCACCAGTTTATTCTGTTCATCAGATTATTTATTCACTTGATTTTCAGATTCACTTGTTGATAGATGTGTATTTGTTGTTCATAATTTGTATCTTTACCTTTTTCTTCTTCTTCCTCTTCTTAAAGGATACCTTTCAGTATTTCATATAATACTGGTTTGGTAGTGATGAACTCCTTTAGCTTTTTCTTATCTGTGAAGCTCTTTATCTGACCCTCAATTCTGAATGATAGCTTTGCTGGATAAAGTAATCTTGGTATGTAGGTTCTTGCTATTCATCACTTTGAATATTTCTTGCCACTCCCTTCTGGCCTGCAAAGTTTCTATTGAGAAATCAGCTGACAGTCATATGGGTGCTCCCTTGTAGGTAACTGACTTTCTCTTGCTGCTTTTAAGATTCTCTCTTTGTCTTTTGCTCTTGGCATTTTAATTATGCTGTGTCTTGGTATGGTCCTCTTTGGATTCCTTTTGTTTGTGTTTCTCTGTGCTTCCTGGACTTGTGAGTCTATTTCTTTCACCAGGTAGGGGAAGTTTTCTGTCATGATTTCTTCAAATAGGTTTTCAATATCTTGCTTTCAGTCTTCTTCTGGCACCCCCATAATTCGGATGTTGGTACGCTTGAAGTTGTCCCAGAGGCTCCTTACACTATCTTCATATTTTTGGATTCTTTTTTCTTTTTGTTTTTCTGGTTGGGTGTTTTTTGCTTCTTTGTATTTGAAATCTTTGACTTGATTCTTGCGATCCTCTAGTCTGCTGTTGGAAGCCTGTATAATATTCTTTATTTCAGTCAGTGTATGCTTAATTTCTAGTTGGTTCTTTTTCATATCCTCGAGGGTCTCACTAGATTTATTGAGGATCTAATTAAATTTATTGGCGGTCTCACTAGATTTCTTGAGTGTCTCACTAAGTTTATCGGCAGTTTCTAGAAAATTCTTGAAAAACCTTATAACCGTGGTTTTGAACTCTTATCCAGTAATTTTCTTTCCTCCATTTCTGTCATTTGTGACCTGTTTCTTTGTCTCCGCATTTTTTATGCTTCCCTGTGTTGATAGAGTGGCTTTCTGTGCTAGGTGTCCTAAAAGGCCCAGTGGCTCAACATCCCCAATTACCTGAGGTGGACACTCTTGGTGCACCCCTTTGTGGGCGTTGTGCACAGTCTTGTTGTAGTTAAGCCTTGATTGTTGTAGGTATCACTGGGAGAAATTGACCTCCAGGCCAATTGGCTGTGAGAATCAGCTGTGTTTATGGTGGGAGAACTTCTGTGCTGAAGACACCCTTATGGGGCGAGACTTGCTTCAGTGGGGCTTTGGTGCTCACTGAGTCTGCCCCCTGAGTGTGTCCCTTATGGATCTGAGGAGTTGTAATCTGGATAGTCCCACTCTGACCACTGGATACACTGGCTCTTGGATCTCTAAGGAGGTGCTAATTTAACCTCTGCCTGAGGCTACCCAGCAGGAGCTATGGAGAGATCTGCAGATTCCTTTTCTTTCTTTGGGGTTTGGAGGTGCCCAGATGAGGCCCAGCTGTGAAGCAATGCAAGCTGCTGTGGGGCCTTTGGTCTTCTTTTGGATGTTCTGGGTCTCTCTGACCCAGCTGCAGTTTGTTAGGTAATTTTAGATTGCAAAGGGCCAGGCCTTTCATATGCAAAAGCCTCTGCACACAGCTTGGGTGTGGTGGGGTCTCAGGGAATCAACAGGGCAGAGCAAACAGCTATGGCTGATCTTCAGCCCTGCCCCAAGAGGCCCGAGTCTCAGTGTCCTTGTAATCGCTGCAAGCACCTCTGAGGGAAAGCTGCCCTCGAGTTCCGACTGATGCCAGACAGTCCAGTTTATCCCCGTATGAGTCTGGGTGCCCAGAGACTTGCCCAGAACTGGAGTTCAGAGCATCGGGAGCTTGTGTCTCCCTCCTGATTAAAAAAGACAACCCTTTCCGCGTGCGAGGCAGCAATTTACAGTGTTTACCTATGCCGCCATCTTGGTTTCTCTCGCTCTGTTATTTCTTGATTGAGTTTTTTAGTGCTTGTATATGGCACAGTGTGGTATTGGGCAGCATTGAGAAATAACAGCTTGACTTTACTAATGTAAAGAAAACAACAAAGATTAACTCTCTATCTGTTAATATATTTTTTAATAATTACATGTAACCTGATTTAAATGATCCATGTGTTTCTTTTTTCTGGCCACTTCTTTGTTTTCTACCAGCACTGTTTTTTCTCTTCTTCAAGTGAGTGGTTTTTAAAAATCATTTTGCCTTCTCTCCCCTCCCACTCTGATGGAAGATGTTTGATTATGACATGATTCTACTATGCTCTGGTCCACCCCCTAAGGCCAAAATGAGAGCGCGGTATCTTATTGTTTGGTACCGGAGGGTGCCGAACAGAAAGAACAGGAACCGAAGCTTAGTTTCAGGTATGGATTATTGGAGCTGTTAGGACCACAAATATCACCTTGTCTTTCTTTGCTTCTTCCTCTGTTGACACTCATAGAGATCAGAGACGTGGGGTTAGGGCTTTAGAGTGAGAGAACCCTAGGAATAGGGGTGAGATTTCAGTTTGCATAATACTGATAATAATAGTTTATATTTATTCGTTGTATGAAATTACTTCCAAATTGGATATTTAAGTCAAGGACTTCCAGTATGCGTTGGTAAATGTATAATATATCACCTGGATGTGTAAACTAATATGTGGTATTTCAGATTTCTTCCCTAGTGTGGTGCATAGTACTCTCTTACCAGGGGGTTTATATTTAGGGTCTTCAGTGAAACATGGAATGGTTGACTGGATTTTCCCCCCAACTTTGTATAATAACAGGTCTTTAAAAATAATGAAAATATGGAACAGACTGATGAATCTCAGAGGGAAAGGGGACAGGAAGAGATTAACCAAAGAATGTATAGGCATATATTCATTGCCCTTGGACACGGACAGTAGGGTGGTGAAGGACAGGGGCAGAGCAGGCTGGGTGGAGCAGGGCAGTTGGTGGCGGGGAGAGGGGGGGCACTGGGGGACATCTGTAATACTCTCAATAATAAAAATAAAAAATAGAAAAAATAATTCATTAGGTTGTTTTTTTCTTTTCCTTTTTTTGGGAGTCTGGATTTGGGTTCAAATCTGGGCTCTGCCCCTTACTATAAGTTAACTAATATCAGTGGGCCTTGATTCTTCATCTGTAAAAGGATGATGATCATACCTGCACCTTAGTAGTTATTATCAGGATTAATGTGGGTAAAGAGAATGAAATAACACAGTGCCTCTTCAAGGGTAGAGTTCTCAAATGTTAGCTATTAATATTTTATCCAGAAGCTGAGATTTAAACTACTAAAATATTTGACTGCAGCTGTAGAGGCAATTTAAAACTCTTAAAGAGATAAAACTGGGCTGTAAATTTCACAGTACAATAAACATACTGAATCTCTGCAAAGTCCTTTGCTCAAAGAACCTCAGTTTACTGTGTCTTTCAAATTTCAAGGACTTTTAAGATCATCTTTCTTGAGATGCATGAGTGAGTTACATAATTTCTGGCAGGAGACTTTATATTTACTTATTTTTACTGGAAATAAGAAAGATATTTATCCTCATATGAAAGCTGAATGATATAAGTACTACTTGGAAAATAAAGCAGTAGGAGTGACTTTTGCTTGATGTCAAACCTGCTAAGCAGTCAAATCTCATCATTCTTCACTTGATATGCAATTATTTGCTTCTAGATTAGCTCAGAACAAGCCTATAGTATTCTGCAGGACTTTCTTCTTAAAGTAAATGGAAGTTGTCAGAGATTTCAGCTGGAAATTCTTTATTCTTGTCTTTTGTTTTGTTAGAGCTTTGGCCTTGATATGTTACATTTTACTTGTATGAAATATATATATATTTTTTTATCATTTTCATTATGTTAAATTGATAACAAAGCTGTGAATATATTCTTTAATTGACCCAGCTGTAAACTTGGCCGAGGTCATGATTTGGATGGCACATAGAACTTGATAGAGAGTTCTCGTCACCATTTTAAGATTTAAAAATCAGATGTGTTTACACCCCTGGAAGAAAAATAGAACAATCAGGCACCATCTGTGAGTCCTGAGTGCTTGTTTCTTCACCTTCTGTAATTAAAACACTGCTGGCTGCTTGGCTAAATAAGAGTATGTTATTAAACTGTCCAACTCATTTGGTCTGAAATGTTCTTTAAGGAATCAGTGAAGATTTTAAATGTTCTTCTTGGGTCTGGGTCAATACATTCTGTAGGATGAGTCAGGGAATGATGGTTCAACAAACGTATTGAATATCTATTATATGTCAGCAAATGAGCTTGTTGGAATAGGTTGTTAATTCACGTGGGTTATGTTGGACAGCTTTGACAATGAGGAGGATTTTAGTTAGATCTACTTGTTGTGTAGCCTCAGAGACAAATGTTACTTATTTCCTTGTTTTACTTTCTTCACTCGTTGAGCTAATAAGCCTACCTCTTTTAGAGTGAGATTTAATGTGGTTATTGAACTTGATCTTGCTGTGTATTCATTCTTCTTAGCCTTGATCGGTGTGTTCATTGTGACTTCATGTTCTCTTCAAGCTTGGCACTCACCTCTCAGAGAGTTGCTGTGCCAGTTCTATTTATGGCAAGGCAGGAAGGGGTTTCTGCATAATTCCTGACTACTAAGGTGATTGTGGTCTAGAAAAAAGAATTGCTAAATTTTTTCGAGACTCCAAGTGCTTTGATGCTTTGGAAATAACCATTAGATTTATACTTAGACAGCTGGGTTCAGTTGAGCAAACATGTATTGAGTATACATCACATGCCAAGCTCTTAGTCATCATCCTTGAGAAATACAGAGTCCAATAGAAGCCTGCTTACATGTAGAGAGAAATTATGATACAATGTAACCAAATTATTCAGTGAAAGACATATGAACAAGGCATAGATGCGGCCTAGATGATTATTTTTGTTCAAGGGGAGGCAAGAGAGTTGGGTTTTATGGAGGAAATGAAGATTTAGGATGGTTCAGGTAGATAAAAATTGGCTTTTTTTAAAAATTAGATTTTTATTGTTGGAGGGCATTCCAGGCAGAATGTTATTGAGGAGGCATAAAGTGGCATGTAGCAGGTAGTTTGGTATCGCTGGAATATAAATTGTGAAAGGAACAATGGTGGGAGATAAAGGTAGAAAGGGATGCAGGGCCTGTATCTCGAAGGGTCTGGCATGCTGCACCTTGGAGCTTGGAGTTCTTTCTGATGCATAGTAATCAGCTTAAAGCAATTATAAAGGTCTAAGGCAGGAGAATGAAAGGATGGACTGTAGTTAGGTCCCTCTGATAATCTGTAGTTTGGATTGGAGAGGAGCAAATTTGTAGGAATACTAGTAGGAAGATTTAAAGAAGTTTAGGAGTTTTAATTTAATAAACTTGTTTAACTGAACCGAGATCATGCAATAATGAACGAAGGCATGACAGGAAATGAAGAAACGAGTAAATGACAGAGAGGTGACTGTGTAATTGATAGGACCGTGAGATGAATAAGAGAGAGAATAGTCTGTGTTTTGGGTTTGGGCTCACTGATATAGTCACCGAAAAGGAGAATAAAGAACAAGGAAGTGGATTGAAGCGTTGGGACAAACGAGTTTAGTTTTGAACGTATTGAGCTTGAGTACCGGTGATGCATCTAGGCCAGTGGTTCTCACCCTTCTGGCCCTTTAAATACAGTTCCTCATGTTGTGACCCAACCATACAATTATTTTCGTTGCTACTTCATAACTGTCATGTTGCTACTGTTATGAATCGTCATGTAAATATCTGATATGCAGGATGGTCTTAGGCAGCCCCTGTGAAAGGGCCAAAGGGGTCGCGACCCACAGGTTGAGAACCGCTGATCTAGGTGGCGATGGTCAGCAGACAATTGGATATAAAGATGAAGTTCAGTGGAGAGACAAGAGGAAAACTGTAGGAATCGCCAGCATACAAGTGATGACTAGTAAGGGAGGTCATGGGGAGCGAGACGAGGAGAAGAAAGCCAATGGTGGCACTCTGAGGAGCGTACCAGTAGTTGAAGGGCATTCCGAGGAAGTGGTACTGGGAATGAATAGAGAGAGAGGTGGGTTAGAAATAGGGTGTCATAGGAGCTGGGGAAGAAAGAGCAGGTGTCTCAGTATTGTCCAAAGCCAGACGTCACTCAGAGCGCTATGGGACAGAGGGGCATTTCCACTGGGAGGGTAATTTGTAACCTGCCTTTGCCACTTGTTCATAGGACTTGGAAATCCACTTTACCTTTGGCTTTTTGTCTGTGAAAAGGTAGGTGTCTGGCCTCTTACCCGGTATCAGTCTGTCATCCGTGGAGTCCCCACGGGTTCAGAAAAGGTTCTTGAGGTCTATCAAGAAGAGCAAGGGCAAGGCCAGATATTTAGGGGGCTGAGGGGTATGTCTACTCCTGATTCAAACAAAGCAGCTAGAGCAGCTTGCTTTTTCATGTATTTTATTTTATTTATTTATTTTTAAATATATTTTATTGATTTTTTACAGAGAGGAAGGGAGAGGGATAGAGAGTTAGAAACATCCATGAGAGAGAAACACCCATCAGCTGCCTCCTGCACACCCCCTACTGGGGACGTGCCCGCAACCAAGGTACATGCCCTTGACCAGAATCGAACCTGGGACTCGTCAGTCCACAGGCCGACGCTCTAGCCACTGAGCCAAACTGGTCAGGGCTTTCATGTATTTTATATATTTGGCTTAGCATGTAAGATTTCATTTGAAAAAACATAGTGCACTATAAGAAGTTTGAACACTACTGGCCTACAGGAGTCATAGTTACCTTCAAATGTTAAAAACTGTATAATTGATAGCTGGTGGTCAAAATTCCTCTGTAGATGAAAATCATAATAGATGCTAACTTAGGATTTGGATTTTATTCAGAGGTCAGCATTAATGTCTGAGTTTATGTAATAATTATTCTTATTTTCTTTAGGAATGAAACTGAACTTCTAAACAATTCCATTCTATTTTATTCTATTTTATACTTTGTTAACAAACTTTTTGTGTATCTTATCAGGTTCTGACTCAGAAGATCTTTTGGAAGAATTAGTCTGCTGTTTGATGCAGTTAATCACTGATATTCCACTCATGTAAGTTCTGGCTACATCAGGGTTTGTTTTATCGTCTTTGTATTGTGAAGACGGTAATTGATGATGTTGAAGAGTTTGTGGGTCCTAGTGTAGTACTTTTATGCATGCCTTTAAGGGTAGTACATTCATAAAGTTCTTTTATCTCTCTTGCCCAGTAATATTTAAACTCTGACTATCCATCATCAAAACAATTTTAAGTTGTTAATAATACTAAGCATATGGTAGGCACAGAATTAGATTAATGTCTGTAATAAATGAACTTACAAATCTCTGTTAACAAGGATTTAAGAGAAAAGCAATTAGAAACAAATTCATATGTGGTAGGTGCAGCTAGTTCACCCATTATTTGTTCTCCCCTTCTTTCTTATGTCCTGCTTTGATTAATGGCCAGTTTTGGATTTTCATGTCTACCTTTTCTTGAAGGTAGATGTGGTCATTGAGATGTAGGGGGAATTTCTCCATGGAAGTATGAGTAAAGCTCTTTTAAGGGGACCTGGCTCCTCCAGGAGTCCTATCTTTCTGTTCTTGACAGCCCTCTTTCCTGCTGTCTGGAATGTGAACATGGTCCTTTGAATTATGTGGCCATCTTGGCGCCATGAGCCAAGAGACTCACCAAAAATTCTGCTTTGATGCCATTGAGCTGCTGAACCAAAGTCATCAACTACTAGTTCCCCTACCCACTGTCGCCCTCTGGACTTCTCATGTGAGAAACATAGACCCTTATTTGTTTATGGTAATGGATTTCTGTCACTGCAACTGAATGCCATTCCAGCGTGATTCAAAATGTTTGTTATTTTTAGAGCAGTTACTGTCAACCTTTTTAAAAATTGTCTCTTTGAGGAACCCTTTTAGACTTCTTTTTCTTAATTGCCCCTCCCCCCTTGGAGCACCATGAATCATTATAATATCTGTGACGTTTTTCACCTTAAAGAACTAATTTTTATTCTCGGGGGGGAGGGGTCATATCATCCCCATTGAAAATGCATATTTTAAAGAAATTATGTTTTAAATAAAGAAGTAGATTTTAAGATTCATCATCATAGAATCTCAATCTACATGGGGATATCGTTGGAAATGTGCTATTTGCCTATAGTTCAAAAAGGAAAGACAGGTGTTTGTGGGAAATGGGCTCCTGGCCTCTGTTGTGCATAAGTGCAGCATCCAGAATTGTAATGTAGATGTAGAAACGGGATCCGCCAAACCCTGTTGTGGTTTGGAGCTTGTACAGCTTGGAAGGCAGGGCCCAGGCATGATGAGCTCTTGCGACGGACACAGCGATTAGCATGCCTTATATCCTTTCCTCACCCTCTTTCTTTCTTTCTTTTTTTTTTTTTAAGGGGAGAATGATGATTTTTATTTTTATTTTTTTAAATATATTTTATTGATTTTTTACAGAGAGGAAGGGAGAGGGATAGAGAGTTAGAAACATCCATGAGAGAGAAACATCCATCAGCTGCCTCCTGCACACTCCCTACTGGGCATGTGTCCACAACCCAGGTACATGCCCTTGACCGGAATCGAACCTGGGACCCTTGAGTCCGCAGGCTGACGCTCTATCCACTGAGCCAAACCGGTTAGGGCCCTCACCCTCCTTTCTAACAGATCTCCAGTATTGTTTGGGGGACAGTGTATGCCCAGCTTAGTGTCCAGGCACCTTGGGAATTGAATGTGCTGAAATGTGGCCCTGTGACAGTCTGGGCCAGTTTTATGTGAGCAGAAGTCGGCAGCTTGTAGAGCACTTACCTTTAGCTTTTTGCTCTTTGTCCTTCTCTTCCTTCCTGGTATGTGGAGGTGCCATTTGGGCATCTTAAAAGTATGATGATGACTGGAGCATGCAAAGAACAGTGTCCTGGGAACAGGGGGTATGGCTGTTACTCTGGAACTATTACACCAACCCTAGATCGCTTATCTTTGGATTTCTTCTTACGTGCAGCAAATAAACCCTTATTTTGGTTAAGCCACTGTGGTTAGGTTTCTGTTGCATATGGTCAGATGTGGGAGGGAGAGCACGTTGTCTGCTGTTTACTTGTCATAGTATGTGTGATGCTTCATGCGTTCCTGATTTAATTTTAGAAACAGCACTACCTCTATTACATTATGTCCTTACAAATACCAGCAATATCTTCTTTTTTCCTTGGTTGATAATATATCTTGAAGTTAAGGGGGATGGAAATAGTAAATCCCTTTAGCTAGTAAATAAGCCTTGAGTACAATGACTAGGCCAGCCACTTAAACACTCTTGGGGAGCACGCAGACAGTGTTGTAATATATCAAACATTTCAGTGTTTTAATGTGTTTATACTTTTTAAATGAACTGAAAATGCACAGACAACCAGATGTCTTGTGTTATGTACACTCAGCTTTAACCAGCTGCTGAAACAATTTCTTATGATTTAATATTCTTGGAACTCCATCCTCCAAGGTTTGTCTTGGTAACTGTTTCCATGTGAAAGCAAACTACTCTTGCAGTGTTTCATCTACTGTAACTATAGTGCAGCGTTACAGATCAGCTTATAATTTAAGGAGGAACAGTGACATATGGGAACCGGATGCTCTCACCTGAGCATCAGCAGTCTCTGTATCAACTTTCACGTTAACCTCGGCACGCCAGTGCTGCACTCGCAGGCGAACAGCAAGAGGAATCTGGTTCTCTCGGCCACCGCGGGCAATTCTAGACTAGCTTACTGTAAAATGAGACTGTGAAATCATTTTGTTAATATTGAAAGCAAGTGATTATCGAGAACATAGATATTTAGAGATCTATAAACTGAATTTTAAATTAACTTCCTAAACTCCCAGAATTTGAAGGAATAATGATGAAAATTGACTTTTAAGTCAGTATTGCAGTTTGGATTTCTTGATAAAATATTAATTCTCTGAGATGTTAATCTTCAGTCAGGTTAAAATTGCCCTTCTTACAGGATTCCTTCCTTAACTCCTCTCAGCATTTATATATTTAAAGTAAATATTAAGTCATGCATGGGCTTATGATTTGACATTTTTCAGTCTGTATTGGGTTGATCCACTCGAATTGTCTTCCAAAAGTAAAGCCTTGTCTATAATTATTAGACCTGCTCCTTGATCTCAAGGAAGTGAGTGGGAAAGGAATAAAGTAAGAAAAGGTATTTTTCTCAGGACATTAATAGAGAGGATCCTAAGAAGAAGGCGTTGGCAGGACAGAGCTGAAAGCAGCACACTTAGAGTGTGACCGTGTGTCAGCTCTTAGCGTTACTGTAATGGCTGAGACCCTGGGACTCCACCAGTGGTGCAGGTCAAGTGGGGTCCTAGCATCAGAAGCAGTTAGATTGTATGGACCCCAAACTTATGTTTTGGAGACTGTTTGTGATGCTTTTTAATTATGAAATAGAAGTCGTTTTGGTGGCTAGAACTGGATTTTTTTCCTTTTATGTCTTTTTGCCTGTTTTTGTTGCTGTAGTTTTTTCAGAGCTCTCACTGTTAGTTGTAAATGACGATGCCGTTGTCAGGACAGGCCCTCCTCCTTTTCTCTGGTGCCACCACTCTGACAGGTCCCTGGGACAACTGCTCAGAGTGGGTCTTTCTGTGGGCCCCGGCCAGACAGGCAGCCTCTTCCTCTGGGGCCCATTGGTGCATTCTCCTTCATCAGCCTGTGAACATTCATTCTCAGCCTGGCCCTCACCTGCAGGTTTTTACATTATAATTTAATCTAAGAAACCTTACCTAGTTTTTTCATAAGTTAAGTACTGGTGAAGATGAGATTTTCATAAGTGATTGCCTTCACTGCCCTTTTCGGGGATTTTGTGTGTCTATTTGTCTATTTTTTGTCGAGTACAGAGGGTGTCTGTTAACCCTGCAGCACCACTCATTCTAGTTCAGCCACGCTGGTGTCCTTGCTAACTTGGAACCTGCCCACCTCCTCCTCCCTCCAAGGCCTTTGCCCTTAAGTATCTCCCCTCAGATCTCTGTAGGCTTATGTCCTGACCGTATGTCTGTCAGGCTTCTTTCTGCTCAAAGGTCTGCTTCTTAGAAAGAGCTGCTCTGCCTTCCCTCTCACCCTCTGGCCTTTTATCACACTTTATTTTTCGTCTGAATACTCATCTCTACTTTTCATATTATCTATTCTTTCTCTTACTTGTATTTCTCAAATAAAATTGGAAAGTGAACTCCATGAAAACAAAGATTTTTCTTGTGCCTGCATTTATTTTGCTCACTGCTGTGTCACTAGTACTCTGGTTAGCCTGATTCTCAACAAATTTTTTGTTGAATCAGCAAATCAGTAGGGACATAACCTATTCTGTGTGCTTACAGCATTTTGTTTGTTTCCCAGCATCGTGGCTGCATTGTGCTAAGGCATGTTCCATTGCAAGTATACTGGCTCAAAGCCCTTTGCAGTTTTATAATTATATTATAAAAATTCAATGTCTTATTAGTAGTAGAAAGGGGCTACTAGGGACTGAAACACTTGAGAAATAACATCTAACAATGTTTAAGGAAATGGAAGATTAATTAGTTATAACTGCTGAGTAGTGTGGGACAGTTTAGGGACAGTCAGCTAATATCTCAGTAGTCTCCAGATCAGGGGTGGGCAAACTTTTTGACTCGAGGGCCACAATGGGTTCTTAAACTGGACCGGAGGGCTGGAACAAAAGCATGGATGGAGTGTTTGTGTGAACTAATATAAATTCAAAGTAAATATCATTACATAAAAGAGTACGGTCTTTTTTTTTTTTTTAGTTTTATTCATTTCAAACGGGCTGGATCCGGCCCGCGGGCCGTAGTTTGCCCACGGCTGCTCCAAATTATCCCTTCACACTATACTTTCTTTTTCATTGAGTTCATCCTCAAAAACATACATTGTGAACATACTGTGTGTCTGTGCTGTACTAGGCCCTGGACAAGGAAAGGAGTGGCTTTTGAAGAGCTTCGGGATGGGTAGATACCTAGAAAGGTAGCCCAGTAAGAGGCGCAATTGAATGCTACAGTCATTTCCAGCCGTAGCGACTAGCAGTGGCCGGGTCATT